TATGTATCTAGCATTGGCTAAGCACAAGTTTCTAATAAAGAACAAAAGAAAACCAAAACAACAGATAGTCAGAGTTTAAATACCCTGTAAATTTATGAAGGTGCTTGCTACAGGGGAGTGGGTATATACCGCACCGGTGAAGCACCGCTCCTCTGTCCCACACAGCTTTTGTTAAGGATAACTTCTTTGCCCATTGCTCGTGATCCATCAGAAATATTGGGCCCTCGAGCTTTACATGAAATAGGTACATCAAATTTGTCATATGAATGCCAATTAGGCCGGTCAACATGCATCCCATATCTGAAGCCGTTGAAGCATGGCGATTCGAGTCCAAAATGAGTTAGTTTACTTAAGGCTAGGTCATATAGAACTGTGATCCAAGGTTTCTTGACCCAGAGCTCGATCAACTGCATCGAATTTGGTCTACGGATAGCATAGGACACTCCCAAAATATTTCCTAGATAACTCACCTATAAACTAATGTAGATTTGCCGCAAATTTTATTTGATGATATGTTATCTTACCGTACAGACTGGACGTCTTTTCCCATTCCACATACCATAATTCAAATATCGAGCTACCTTTGTAGCAAAGACTCCTCAAGCAGAGTTCTGTTTAGTGAGCCATAGCTCGGCCAAATGCCTCAAATTTGGTCTACGGATACTTCCTAGATAACTCACCTGTGATTCAATCTGGAATCACGCAATTGCATACTCCAATCAATGGAACATTGGCTTCAGAGTCTAGGCTAGATTGATTTAACGCAAGATATTGGGCTATTGCTCTTGATCGATGATATGTAAATATATATATGCTATATATTCCATACTCAGCTAGGATTTTGCTCTTATCAAGTTGACTTTGCTCCATTTTATCCATTACTCTGTTGCCTAACTGTATTCTTAAAAGTTGGACAAAGTTTAAGGAGCTCGACAAGCTGATCATGCTATTAAGGCACAGATGAGCGCCTGATAGCGTTTATAGATATCTATATATACATATATATAGCGATTTATATGTACGTATATATGTATATAGTTAGTTCCTTTCTTATCGTCAATGTATTTCACATTTTATTGATCAAATACACTTAATTTGTCGGCACGTTTTGTTGTCGTGTATCGACTATATAGCATAGATCGAAATGCTATATAGAAGCATGTTCGTGTGTGTGTGTGAGTGTGTGTACAGAAGAAGAAACAAACAACCGACTAGTTGAATTAATTTGTAACAATTTGTATTTTGTTGCCTTTTCCTAAACGCTTTGTTGTTGTTCTCTTTTTTCTTTAACTAGCATAATTAGCTATTGTTGTTGTTGTTATTGTGTAGGAATAGGCTGCAGTTGTTGGTTGTTAGGTAGGTAGAGTGTAACTTCCTAAATATATTGCCTAGATACGACCGGGGAAGGTGCCGCTCTCGCGCTGATCGTCCCACTTCTCCACCCAGGCGTTGGGGCACATCGACTTGTAGACCTTCTTGAAGTAGTTGCATGGCTCAAAGTTCTCGCCGCGCTTCTTCTGGCATCGATGGTAATCCAAATAGGATTGGTAGCAATATCTGGTCACGTTCTGATTGGGGAAACGTGGATCGAAGGGGGCAGTCTCCATCTTGTAGGCGGACATCGTGTCAACTGTTGTTGATTTATCGCTGTTTTTCGATTTCGACATGAAAAATTGCATAAACGGACTTTTAGAGTAAACAAAACAAAACAAACCCAAAAACAACGAACAACGAATGAAAAGCCAACAAAAAGTGATGAATTGAATGGTAAATGATAAAATAATGAAAGCATAGAGACAGAGTGTGGGGCACAATATCATGGGTAGGAGCAAAAAGAGAAAGAGAAAGAAAGAGAAAGAGCGAGTTCGAAGAAAGAGAATGCAAGTCAACATAGACAGATATGGAGAGTCAAAGTAGACAGAAAGAAAATATCATAATAGACAATAGTTTAGGTTTACAGTTAGTTTGGTATGGGAAGATTATACAGTAAAGAATAGTGAAGGGCAGATAGAGATATATCGTATATAGTCAACATTGACAAAGAAGGAAATATCACAGACAGAGCGAGGGAGAGTCCATGTCGATAGAGAGATAAATATTGAAATAGACGGTATGAAACAAAGAGATGAACAAGGGGAAAGAGCGTAGAGAAAAATGTAGGTGAAATAGGTGTAATGTAATAAATATAGTTAAATGTAAATTAATCATATAAAA